AGCTGATGCTTATTATGACAGCTGGAAAACCTTCCATTAAGTATTTTGTGAGAACAGTGCAAATGGAAACCTCTTTCATGTCATTGCTTTTAAAAAGCTACTTATTTTCAGGTTGTATGTAGGAACAGATTTTCTTCTCAGGTAGATTAATCTCACAGTGAATGCTTTTCTCCATTCTTTGCTGTATCAGATGAAAAAAATGCTGATCCAGATCTGAGCCTTTTTGCTGTTTTGTGGAATTTTGAAAAGAGGGGAGTGAGGCAGTATAAAATGTCTCCATAATCAAATTAATTCAGTTGTGAAAGTTGTGTTTTGAATGACTTTTCAGTGAGAAAACTCTCCAGACTTGAGATCTTACTGCCTCTCACACCAAATAGATACCTTTGCAAACATAAATGCTGAGGAGGAGAGTTCAGACTTATTTAGTAGTTCTGTTGTCTTCAGCAATTGGTTCATGAAATAATTACTAAATGTTGTAGGGTTTACTGTATTAATTTTTCTTTCCTGAAGGATTATGTGCAGCAGTAGCCATGTCACACAAGTACCAAACAGTGTCTTTTCCTTAAGGTATTGAGATGAGGTTAAAGAACCTGCTGTATCCAGTGATTATAGCACCAGCATGGATCCCTGAAATGAATGCTGTTCAGCACACTGAAACAGGTGAGAAAAAAAAGAGGCAGAACACCTGTGAGGTGAATGAGGACTCTCTGGAATAATAAAAGAGAGTGTGAAGGAAAATCCCCAGCTTAAAGATTGTTTCCTGTATGCGTTATATCTTTCCCATGCAGGAAACCAAGTGAGTGATAAGTAAAAAAGTGAGCTGGGCATGTTTAGCCTGGAGAAAAGGAGGTTCAGGGGTGACCTTATCACTTTCTACAACTCCCTGAAAGGGGGATGTGGCAAGGTGGGGATCAATGACTTCTCTCAGGTAGCAAGTGACAGGACAACAGGAAACTGCCTCAAGCTGTGCCACATGTTCAGATTGGCATCAGGAAGAATTTCTTCAATTGAAAGCATGGTCTAGCACTGGACTGGGATGCCCATAGGGGGTAGTGGAGTCACCACCCCTGGAAGTGTGCAAGCAATGACTGGACATGACTTTTAGTGCTGTGGTTTAGCTGTCGTGGTGGTGTTCAGTTAGAGGCTGGGCTTGGTGATCTTTGGAGGTGTTTTCCAACCTTAACAATTCTGTAATTCCATTCCCTTTAGCTTTGTGATGGAAATGGGTCAGTCTTACAAATAGAAGTACCTAGGACAATTTAGTGCATGGTAGGATAAAGTGTGGAAACTGGAAAGGAGTTGGAGTTCACTTCTCAAAGGACAAACTAATACCTATAGGAGGCCAATATTGTTAATAATACACTGATGCAAAAGGGTGGTGTGTTACTGTCATGTGGGAGACAGCCCCAGCATGAGCTGTGGTTTAAAGGTGAATTTTGTTATGAGGATGTGATGTTTACATGCAGTATATTCTAAATAGTCTGGTGTAACTGAAGGTCTGATTGAGCTCTGTGGCATCTTAGCTTTGCAGACACAGTAACTGTCCTTCTGTACCTCAAAATCTTGGAGACCAACAATTCTTTTCCTTTGCTTGTTACAGGGGTCACTATCGGTGCTGCCTGTACCCTGAAGTCGGTAGAGGAGGTGATGAGAAAAGCTGTGGCAGACCTTCCTCCATACAAAACAGAGATCTTCAAGGCTGTTCTGGAACAGCTGCGCTGGTTTGCAGGGCCACAGATCAGGAATGTTGCTGTAAGTGACTCGGGAGCACCAGGGGCTGTAGCTCAAAGCTCAGTCTGAGGAGCTGCCCTGTCTCATGCAGTGTTGGTGTGCCCTGTGCAACTCACAGGAGAACGTTTTCAAACCTTGGGAAAGAAACCAGCACACAAAAATCAACCCCAGAAAGTGGTGAGGTCTCAGCTGGTGTCTGTGCTGCCCTGATGCCACACATTTAACAAGCAAGGGAAACATGGCAGTTATCCAGTTCATCCATTGCTGTTATCACCAAGTGGGGGTGATTTGTAGTGAGATTTGACTAATTTAACAAAAAAGGTATTTAGAGTGCTGGGCAAACTTCAAAGAAGCAGGTGTTTGTATTATTGCCATGACAACTAGGGCAGTCATAGTGTTAATGTACCAGATCTGGCAAATTTTCCTCTAGTTTTAAAGGGGAAGGTATGTTCAAATTCTATGTGCTCTAACAAAAAAAAAAATACCAAGCAAGCAGTTAAACCAACATACCAAACAAGAACTTTTGGTCCATGAGATACTGTGCCATACATTTGTTTTGGAGCCAAAAACCTTGGTTCCTGATTGTTACTAAAAATACCCTTTTTAGTTTCATGGATCCTCCCTTATAGCAGGTACAGTGATTGAATTTTGGCATGATTGTGCATAGGAGGTTTGAGCATAAGGTAGTCTTGATACATTAACAAAACACTGTTCTAAATCTGTTTCAGGCAAATGTTAATATTGTTCGAGACAGCATCTGATTTTGTGGGATTTAGGTTTTCCCAATTAATTAAAGGTGAAAAATGGCTTAGATTTTTAGTATTTATCCAATGCATTATTTTCACTCTAGGCTATTGGTGGGAACATAATGACAGCAAGCCCAATTTCTGACTTAAATCCTGTGTTAATGGCAAGTGGAAGCAAACTGACTTTGGTATCAAAAGGTGAGTTACTTACATTTCCCTCTGGCACTGAGGAGTGTGGGATACTCAGCAGTCCTCTGCCATGGATTGTTAGGTCAGGACAGAACTTGAAAGTGGAAATTAACATTGTTAGTCTGAGTCTTCAGTGTTTTCACACTTTTTGAGGCTAAAGTTCTAAAGCTAGACATAAGGTTGGCTTCCTAAAGAATTTTGAACTTCTGTGCCAGATGGAATCTCTGTGTGTATACTTACAGACACATCCTTGTGAAGAGCTGGTTGAAAAATAAAAGGCATGAAATAGTTTCTGTCACTATCTTACTTTAATACTTCTGGCTTTTTCAGATAAAGACTGAAACTTGTTTCTTTTTTCTAAGAAGAAAGCCAAGCATCTCAGTTTTTATTTGTTCCTAGGAAATCTTTTTAAAAACAGGATCCTTGAAATAAGTGGACTGTCTGATCAGTGGACTGAGTGCTGGTTTCTGTGCAGGCTATGGAAAAGAGAGATTTCATTGGAGTGTTGGAAGCTGGCTCACCTGGAAGCTGAGGTTTAATTAGATAAAGAAGGAAGGAGGTCTCTTTGATCAGTTCCTGTGCAAAGAAAATTTATTATGTAGGCAGAAGCTGTCATAGATTCCATAAATACCAAAGTAAATCTGAGAAAGATTTTCCTGATTTGGTGAGAGAGAATGGAAAAATGAAATCAGATATCTTATCAAGAGGGATTTGTGTGGTTTGAAGGCTTTTCCATATGTACTATTGCCATTCTTCATTTATTCACTGTTGATGTCCCTTTGCTCTACAGAGGGCAAAAGGACTGTCACGATGGATGAGAAGTTTTTCACTGGCTACAGAAAGACAATAGTTAAGCCTGAAGAAATACTTCTCTCTGTTGAAATACCCTACAGCAAAAAGGTAAGCTTGTAAGAAAGAACTTCACTGTCTTTGGAGCTAAAACGCTGTTATTTGAGTGTTGTTTTCAAAGTTAGGCACCTTTTTCCTGACCAACCCCCAAAATGCTTATGTAGTCCCAAGTGGACTAGGAAGCAAGTGAATGATTTGGAGAAAATCCAGCAGCACACTATTTTTCACAAGCAAAGGGAGAAGGGCTCTATGATAAAGTATGGTAAGCCCAAGAATTTTTCTAGTGTAAGGAAGAGAAATTTCACTTTATTATATGAAGATTTTTTGAGTGCATTTGGTGATGATGAAAAATGTCAAAGTGATGTTCCCAGAGGTAGAAGTTCTGCTTGAAAAGTAGAACAAAAACGATTTTAGCAATTTCTGATGTAGAGTGAAGTTAATGTGCCAAAGATTCTGGCTTAATTTCTGTGAGCTGAAATGGGAAAAGAAATTGAGAAAAGTTTGTATGGATGAAAGGGAAGCTCAGTTTCTGCATTCTTGTCTTGCAAGATATAATCCACAAAGACTGACTGTTAGAGCATTTTGGCTATGTGGACTTGAAACTTCAAATGAGGCTGCACTACTTTCTTCAAATGGAACAATGGGTGTTTCTCTGCTGTAGCAGCATAAACCACAACTGTGTCTAAGAAGTAAAACTTTGCTTTTTCCTTTAGGGCTGAGAACATCAGACTAATTTTATGCTTGTGAAGGTACTTACCTTCTTAGGGCTTGTGGCTCCCAATCATAAGATGCAAGGATTTGCAGGATGGTGACACATTTTCTTTGTAAATGGAAAACACTGATTTGCTTGAAACACTGTTGCATTATGTGAGAACTAACAAATCCCTTGTCCATCCTCTCAATTTTTAAAAAATTTAACTACTAAAGGAACAAACCTATTTTATTTATGGTGGTTTTCCCATGTATTTCTGAGCAATTCTTCTTCAGTCTTGTGATAAAAGCATCACTTTTTGGTAGAATGAGAAACATGCTTGAGATTGCCAATGGAAAACACCGTATTCCTCCCTCCATATGACATTCTCATGGCAATGTCACAAAACAAACGTTTACAAGCAGGGGCAGTGGCTTCAGCCCTAAGTTATATGCAGCTCATTGATCTGAAAAACTAAAATAAATTGTGAACTCTCAACTTCATGATTTCTTGGCTGATCTTTGCTCACAAATGAGGAGGCTGAAGTTCTTCAGGGCATGTCTGAAGGTTCTGGCATGTAGCAGGCAAAGTTTTCTGCAACTGTGGTTTCCTCATGAATGAAAGCAGGGCTGTTTCAGCACACAGCTAGATAGAACTTTTTGGTTTGTCTTCGTTTGAAACCGGTGCTATGCCTTGCATTCATGTAACTTGTCACATCAAGACTGGCCAAACAACAGAAAGAATTAACATGCTCTGTTGTTTGGCAAGAGACCCAGGGAAGCATATGATGTGATGGTTCACTTACCTACACTCCTAGTGAGGAAAGATGGTGAGTACCTTTCCTCCCACAGGACTCTGAATGAAGAAAATGAAGGTGTCTTGTGAGGAATGAAGGGAATTTTGCCCTCCTTTTGCAATCATGTTATTGGAAATCTCTTGATTACACAGTAAGAGAGGAGGCTGCTTTTTCTCCTCTTTGAAAGCTAATTGTTTTAACAAGCAGAGTGACAGAATGTCCTCACTGGAAGATGCTATTGATGCTCCTCTGCTATTATCTGCTGAGTAATTGTTTGAATTCAGGAAATGAAGCACATCCTTCAATTATATCTCCAGTAACAAGTCCTTGATGCACAAAAGGGGCCTCTTGTGAAACTGTTGTCATTGTCAACAGGAGAGAAATTGTTCTATCTGATAGTGAAAGAATTGCTGTCCACTTCAGAGTAGAAGTAATTAATGAAGCAGACTGCTGTGCTGTGTGGAGTCACTTGGCTGAGCTATTAGAGAAGAAACTTGTCAGAAGGCTCTCCAGAAGGGCAGTGCAAAGACATCAGATCTGATTCCTCTCTTAGTCTGCAGGGTGCCTGAGCAGCAATTTGTCTCACCTGCAGTACAGGTGAGAGGAGTGACCATGCTGTGACTCCAGGGTGTCTCCATTACATGGTGCATCCTGGCAGTGTCAATCTCATATTTGCAGCCACTCTTCATAAGGGAGCTGCTGAATTTTGCGTGCTGTAGTTGCTGGTGCGTTTACAAGAATTCCCTCCCTCCATAGAGAACAGGACAGTAACTGAGAGTTCTATCTCCAGTAACAGATTAAATATTCTTTTATTAATTAGTCTGGTCTACTCTAGAACTGAAAGACATTTGTGATTACTGATTTCAGCTCTTGCAGATTTCAAAGACTTCTGAAGGGGAGGGGTTTAGCATATGGGTTTTACTGATTAGACTTCCATCTTAGCAGCCTGGGAGGAAGAAAAACTTGCTGAGAAACTGTAGTTTTGTTTATGCACAAACAATCTGTTTTGGTTCTTCCTCTTGAGATATGGGAAAGTGTGACAGATATACCAGATCTGTCAAAGCTTGTTTCCCCCACAGTCCTGGGCTTGGTAACAACCACTGAACTGATACATTAGGATTAATCCTTGAATTATGTGGAAATAAACAGTGCTGCCTGAACAAACATGTCCTGCTTGGCCCTGCACAATGAATCAACCAGATACTGTTCCCTTGAATAGCTCATACACATAGAGATAAGTAAATAGCTTGTACACTCCAAAGCATGCTAATGTAGAGAATAAAGAAATATTTTTTCTGTTTTCCAGGGTGAATACTTCTCAGCTTTCAAGCAGGCTTCCCGTCGTGAGGATGACATTGCTATTGTGACCTGTGGGATGAGAGTCCTCTTCCAAGATGGCACAAGCCAAGTGAAGGAGATAAAACTAAGCTATGGAGGAATGGCTCCTACTACTGTCCTAGCACTAAAAACTTGCAAGGAACTCACTGGCAGGTAGGAATTTTTCTGTGATAATAAGACTGTCCAATGGAACTGTGCTGATTTTTACAGGAGCAGTTTAAATATCTAAAACATCCTAAATCCTCTCTAAAAGTACATCAAAAGAGAAAGGGGAAGAAGTATAGTTATACTTCTGCAGCAGTGTGTTTTGTGTTATGCCTTGCTTCCTCCAGTATGCCTTACCTTCAAAGATCTGTGTCATTCTCTCACTCAGTGAGCCATTTTTTGCTAAATTCACTCATCAGTTGAAGTGGACAGAAGCTAGATGTGTTCCTGATCTACAAAACTGGGTTCATTTCAAATTGGATGAAAAAAATCAGTGCTTTTACCATGCAATAGCTTTGCCATATCTTTAGGGAAGGTAACATGAGCCCAAAATGACAGCAAAGCACACACATGGGCTGTGAACAGGTAGCACTGATGGCTATTGCTTGACAGCTCGTGGGAACAGCATGAAGCTGTGTCAGGGGAGGTTTAGGCTGGATATCAGGGAAGTTTTTCACCCAGAGGATGGCTGGGCATTTGAACAGACTCCCCAGGGCAGTGGTCAGAGCACCAAACCTGACAGAGCTCAAGAAGCATTTGGAATGCTTCTGGAATGCTCAAGAAGCATTTGGAATGCTGAGAGCATTTGGAGAGCAATGCTCTGGGGCACATGGTGTGACTCTTGAGGTGACCTGTGCAAGGCCAGGAGCTGGACTTTATGACCCTGATGGGCCCCTTCCAGTTCAGCATATTATGTGATTCTGTGTCAGAAGCGTTAGTCTGCCCTGATGAATTTAGGTCTGAATAAGATCTCTGTGTCACCTTTGTTGCCGTGCAGAGACTGGGATGAGAAGCTGCTGCAGGATGCCTGCCGCCTGCTGTCGGGTGAGATGGATCTGTCTCCTTCTGCTCCTGGGGGAATGGTGGATTTCCGACGCACACTCACCCTCAGCTTCTTCTTCAAGTTCTACCTGACAGTCCTTCAGAAACTGAGCAAGAGTGGCACTGTGAGTGCTCCTTGGGAAGGCAGATTTGGGGAAGGAGAACACCTTTGTGCTGCTTTGGTTGGGGAGGGTTCAGATTTGAGCAGAGTCCCCTGACAAAAAAATCCAGGCTGCAATAGCTGCCAGAGCTACTCTACTGCTTGCACAACAGTGATTTGTGTATCTTCTGTGTATTGCTTCCTCTTGGCACCTTCCCCTTGTGGTGGAAGGGTGTAGCTCTGTGGGTTCACAGGATGGTTCCTGGGCTTCTCCCATTTGCTGCATTACAAGTGGTCTTGTAGCTCTGTGGTTGTTCTTGGCACAGAGGCCAAGCCTCGTTTGCCTTTAACTCAGTAGATTATGGATTACTGTAAGTGGGAGATGGAGAATGGAAAATCTTGAGCTGCTAGGGAAAGTGAGAAAGGAATTGGAAGGGAAGGTGATTTTCTTTAATATGTCTTTGGCAGAAAACTATGAGTGAGCCTGTCCCTTCAAACTACATCAGTGCTACAGAGCTCTTTCACAAAGATCCCATTGCAAATGCCCAGCTCTTCCAAGTAAGTAGCAACTTCCCAAGTAGCAGTGTTGACATGACATAGACACAGGCTTTTCTGTAGCTCAAACAGTGCTTTCTATCTTCTTGTCTCCCTGAGTATGGTCATCCCATAAACTTTTACAATGCCATGTGTGAAGCTTGTATTTGGGTCTCAATCCTTTTTTCACTTCAGCATACTATTCTTTCCTGTCACTGCCCAAGACTGTTGCTGAGAGCTTTATAAAAATCGCTATTCCTCCTATAGCTAACTCTCTATCCAAACTGAAATTCCCCTTCTGCTTTCCCCAGTTATAGCCTGCCTTTCTTGGCATCTCTCAGGCTTCACACTTGGGATGCTTGTTTCTCTGTTAGTGATCCATTCTCTTCAGCTTTGAGAGTAGAATCCAGTTTCAGAACTTGAACCTTCTTCTGCAAGATGTGAAATCGAACCCTTCCCTTCCACAGCTATTTCAAAACCCGAACTCCTTTCACTTCATTCCCTACAGCTCCCCTCTGGGTAGCCACATCTTATGACATCTTGTTTACCTTCCTTTCACACAGGATTGAGCCCCCATCCCGTTCCCCATTCACTAGAATGTCTCACAGTGCCTTCTGCTCTCCTATCAATGCTTCCATCCCCTTCCACCCAAGCCAGTAGTAGTCAGCCATGTGTTTTACTCCAGGAAGTGCCCAAGGGGCAGGCTGTGGAAGATATGGTGGGCAGGCCTCTGGTGCATGTTTCAGCAGCCAAACAAGCCAGTGGAGAAGCTGTGTACTGCGATGACATCCCTCACTTTGAGAACGAGCTGTACCTAACGCTGGTGACCAGCACCAAGGCCCACGCTAAGATCCTGTAAGTGTTGCTTCTGAGTTCCAAATGTTGGAAGAATCCAGTGCCTGGTGGCTTTGAAAACATCAATCTGTCGGGGTGTGGGTGAGGGAAAGGGTTTTGCTTAGGTGGGAACTCCAGTTCCTTGCACATTGTTACACGGAGGCGAGCTGTGTGTGTGACAGCTGCCTTGCAAGTCTGCGTCAGTGGGAATGTAAGGGAACCAACACCAAACTTTGGGCTTTGCTAAAGCACAAAACAGCTTAGGCCAAACTTTTTGCATTTCCCATCTCTTAGACATACAGGATTAAATAGGAACAGGGTAGGAGACCACCACAGAGGCCGAGATGTCATTTTAATCACTAACTGGAGCATGCAGCTTGAAGATTTTCTTTATACCTCCCTGAAAAATTAGGTTGTAAGATGCAGTTCTACCAGCTCTCCTGCTGGTCAGTCATCTGTGTGCACTGGGTTTTGCCTTGCACAGTGCTTGCCTGCATTGGCTGTGATCAAGCTCTCTGCACAAAAGTCATTTGTGGATTGGCTTCAGCTATGAGGTGTAGCCCTGTCTGTGCTTGGCTGTAGCAGGGTGGACAGTGTTTGGAAGTGCAGCTGTCTCAGAAAACACCTGATCCATCCAGGGCATGACTGTTACCTAATTTATAACAATGGTGAATACCCAACTCCTGAAGGCCAATCTTGGCAGGTAATGCCATCTACATTCTCATGTGAATTTTAATGCTGTCATATTGCAGGACTTGCTGCCCCCCACAAACCCTAATTTTGTTTATATGGTGGTGGCTCTGCAGGCTCTCAGCTGCTTTGATATGGGACATTGTGTGACTACTGGCTCATGTCATCCTCAATGGCTTTGCAATGTGCTGTTCATTCCTTAGGCAATACTTCCTGCCTAGTTAGGCTTCCTGTCCAGAGCTTTCCCACTGTGGCGTGGGAGGCATGGTGGTCATGGATGCACAGATGTAGCAGTTGACTCCCAGGTTATGAAAGAAACTTCTCTGTCATCATGGTTAATTTTTAGGTGTTGCAATGTGCAATGTAGACACTTGAGTGTTGTTACTACCACCAGTGCAAATGGGGAGATAGAGAAGGTGTCACATCCATGCTTGTGACAACATGCAGTGTTTTCTAGAAGTTGCTGTACACGTTCTCTTGCATTTGTGTTGTGTACACATATTTCAGGCTGGGAGCCTGTAACATTCTGTAGAGGAAGTAGAATATTTAATCAGGGGACAAAAGTATCTCAACCTATGATTTTGGTAGTCAAAATATTGACTCTGGAAACTTCCACTTCATCCAAGTCAGATTTTGAGCACCAAGCATAAATCAGACACCATCTGCCTCTGCATTTGTAACCAAGAGAAAGTGTTAGGGGGTTGTTTCTGAGCCACTGCTGCAGAAACACAGGAAAGAGAACTTTCCAAAGAAAAATAGAATTTTGAGTTCCTGCTGTCTAAAGGTTCATGTGGGAAAGTTAATTCTTACATTTAATATCTTTTTAAAAAGGTCTGTAGCTCACTGGGGTGTATTGACAGCTGCTTTCAGGCATAGTTTATATCAAAGTTTTCGGAATCTAAACAAGTTGCTGAAAAAATTGCAGCAATTTACAGAAAGCAGTAAATCATTCAGTCAGCAAAATCAAAGCCACAGCTCTTCTATTCACAACTGTTTCTCTGTAAAGCTGACGTACAGAATATTGCAAAAGGAGCCGAAAATTTTTTGTGATACATTATTACTAAGTTCTCCATATAAAAATTATATTATGCTGCCCTTTTTTAGTTATTTTGTCATTGAGTTTTAAATATATCTATGAATGAAGGAGACAAGCATTTTGGTTAGACACCTCTTTTGCTGATTACTAAAGAAAGCCTTTAATGAAGATTTTCGTCATTTTGAGCATCACTTTTTTGCATCCTCTTAAAAACCCTGAAGCTTCATTATGATTGATCCTCAACAATTTCTCCTTGACTCACTCGTGGCAGATGATACATGTCTGCACTAAAATTTCATATTTATCCATAGTCAAGGAATTCTTGCCTTCATGGCAAGAATCATGGCATCTAAGACAGTGGAGGCACAGCATCACTGACACCAACTTGTCATCAAAAAAATCTTTAGTACATGTGGCAATTGGATCAAGTTCAGATATGTCTTAGGGAAAATATGTATGACATAGTCCAAAGCTGCAGACTGGCAATCAGTCTCACAGTCAGGATTAACATTTTCATATGGATCCCAAATGATTTTAGTCTCACATGTTGCACTCTCTGTCACAGTCTCACATGATATTCACATGGCCTAGCCAAACTTGAGGGAATCAGGCCTGAATGTATGAGAATCTCATAATCACTTACACAAAGAAAAGATAAGTAACACTGTCTCTCCTTCTTTCCTTAGCTCTGTAGATGCATCTGAAGCTCAGAGTGTTCCTGGGTTTGTGTGTTTTGTCTCTGCCAAGGATGTTCCTGGCAGCAACGTCACTGGCATCGCTAATGATGAGACTGTCTTTGCTAAGGACGTGGTATGTAGCTAAAAATAGCCTTTTTCAACCATGCTGCTGGGGAGATGAGGTTTCTCATACTGCCCAGTCAAGTCATCTTCCTTATAGAGAGAAAATTCTAACTGCGCTGGGGTCAATAGAAATCTTGGTGCCAAATTCAATAAGGCCCAAGTCCCTTTGCCCTGAGCTCCTCTCCTCTGTGTTATCTCCATGATTCTTCTCTAAGCTGCAGCCCCCTGGGACAGGCTTACTCACTCAGTTGCTGTCCAAATTTGCTTGTGATTATTTTCCCTGGGCTGATTTTTAATAGACTGGTCTGAACAAACTGTATAAAAGGAATAGATAAAGAGAACAATCATGAGTCTCTTGTCACTGCACAGATACCAAATGATGGTGGGTCCCAATCTTGCCTCTAGGTCACCTGTGTGGGTCATATCATTGGGGCAGTCCTTGCAGACACACAGGAACATTCCAGGAGAGCAGCCAAAGCTGTGAAGATTAAATATGAAGAACTTAAACCTATTGTCACAATTCAGGTAAGATGGCTCATTTCTGCATCTGCACTTGGCTTGGGTCCCCCTGATGTCCAGTTCTGTTCTCACACGTGTGGTCACTTAACCCCACATTTTGTTTGTGTTTGTGGGTGCAACAGGATATGGATAGAAGGAATAATTTGTGTATTTAAATATAAAGAAGGTACATCTTTGGTGCCCTACTGGTTTAGAGTACATCAACTTTTCCTATGCTATTTAAAGCTGAAACAAACTAAGCTCAGGGAGATACTGTTGTGCTCAACAGAAATTTGTTTAAAAAAACAAGATTACTGTGAGTTACATTCTTACCACAGAGGCTTGCTTTTAATATTCTCTGGTGTGACCCTGCTGGCTTCATTGCTATCCATTCCCTCTTCATTCTCTCATTTATAACAAGCAATGATAAAGTGTGAAAATGTCTTTTCTAGCTCTGTCTCTGCACTGCTTCTCTGAGATTTCTGCAGACCACTTGTCTAGTTTCTAAGCTCATGAAATTAATTTTCGGGAGTTCACTCCCTGCTGTGAACTGTATGGACACAGTCTTTAAGTGGCTTTTCTCAAAGCTGAAGAAATTAATGTCAACAATATGTGATCATTTTATGCTTTTTTATTTTTTTAACTAGAAAATTTGTTGAAAAGATTTCCTTCTGAGACAGTAAAAACAAATGATATCTACGCAGCATTCATTTCTAGAAGTGACAAAAATTTATGAAGCCATTTTTAGTGGAGAAATTAGAAACATAGAATTCTAATGAAATGTATTTAATAGTCAGTATTTTGTACCATTTATTTTGTAATGTGAATTGTATTCATGCAAATAGAATGTCTGTGCACTGTCTCATACAGACATTGGTACTGTCATCTGAGGACAGAGATTTTGGATTGTTTGTGTGATTTGTGGACTTACAAACAATGTCTGAGACCTTTGCCTTTACTGAGGCTTCTAATTGTTTATTCGAGCAGGGAACATGAGAGTGGAGCCAAATACGTGCTGGGTTTCTTTGTTTTTCTTGTTTGATATTCAGTGGGGTTTTTTTCATTATGGAAAGCTTCAGTTTTGGCAAAAGGAAAATACCTTTGTTAAACTTTCCTTAGAGAACTACTTCTGTACTTATCTGAGAGATTCTGTTTTCTCTTTCTCTCTCTTTTTTTATTATTTTTTTTTTAATTTTCCTTTTCCCCACCCTATGGGCTACAGGCAAGAGTTAATATCAATTGTTAGTTATACCTCTGGTGGTTAAAGGCCTTGAGGTTCTGGGTCCACAATGTAAAACAAGTCACAAAGAGTACCTTAAGATTGTCCAGTTATGGTGTTGGTTGTGAAATCCCTTTGTTGCCAAAAGTTATTTTGTATCACTTTTAGTCAAGTCTCTTGGCTACTGCCATAGAAAGTGTCTGATAAGTTCTTGTGCTTTTTATCTTGGATATTTCTTCTTCAGTTAGAGGAAGATTTGATTTCATTCCACTTGCACAAAAATGTCATTGTGTCATTCTGTTTCCTAGGAAGCGATTGAGAAACAATCTTTCTTTAAGGATATAAAGAGGATTAAAAAGGGAGATGTGAAGAAAGGATTTGAAGAATCTGATCACATTTTGGAAGGTGAGATTAAGCATTAGTAATTTTTTTAAGCAGTTTAGCTCATGACAAGTTGTCAGCCTCCCTTTTATGATACTGAGAGTAAGGCTTGCAGGACTAAATTAATTTCATATAAAGATTCAGACTGGTATACAAATTTTATTGTTTCAAACAGACCTGGATGCTGCCAGCTGTGCCCCTAGAAAACACTCTTTTTTCAATGAAAGGACACATTTTTCTTGAGCAAATATTCTACAAAGTGTTTTTTTTCTTTCCTGAAATTTTTCCCTGTCCAGACGTAGTCTGGTCTAAATCTTATAGACAGCCAATTTCCTGTAATCTAGTGTATGGCTGAATCATAGGCAAATGGGACACAATGAACAGATCAGACCATGACTGAGAAAGAAGCTTGTTCTTGACATTTAATTGTGACTGGAAATTGTACCCTCAGCACTGTCAGGTAAGGTGTCCTGGCAAAGAGCCACATGCAGTGATAGAGACCTGATTCCCAGTTAGGTCATCTTGAGGCATTTTGGGTTTCTGTTTCTGTTCTCCTGTTTCAAAGTCTGTAACCTTGTTTTTTGTGTGCTCAGCTAGACTATACTTGATTCATTTTTATTCTTATCTCTGCAGTGTTATCGAGGCAATCCTGAAAGGCACCAAATACTGCATTTTAAGAGATGCTGGATCAATGGCATGGTGCACAGACTTGTTTTTGAAATGCCAGCCACTTGTTTTCCTTTATAATTAAGAATTCTAGAAAGTGGAAAGGAAGCATGTCTGAATTTTTGTTGTGTTTTGTTTTGAGTTCATTTTTTGTTGTTTTTTAAACATTGAACCAGAAAGGTCAATTTAGACACTTTTTAGAGCTAGTGCTATCCAGTGCTGGGCAAAGCAAAGGGCTGTCAGTTAACACATATACAAAAGCCAGTAGATGGGAGACAAGTTATAACACCAGGACATCCTTTCTAAGGGACATTTCTTTCAATTTTATAGGAGAGATGTACATTGGTGGTCAGGAGCATTTCTACCTGGAAACTCACTGTACTTTGGCTGTACCAAAGGGAGAAGAGGGTGAGATGGAACTCTTTGTGTCGACCCAAAACCCAATGAAGACACAGGTACTTCTCATTAACCTGGTGCCTAAAAGGCATTTGTTTCTCAGTTTCAGATTAGATGAATGGTTGTATTATAGTTGCTCTTATTTTACTGTTCAATTAAAACAACATATAGGCTTAGAGTTGGGTGTGGGATCTACAGTCCTTATACATCCTGCTGGAGTTTTGAATCTCCTTCTAGGTGACAGAGGTACTTTTTTTGTTGGCAATGCATCTTTGTTAAGAGGGATTGCATGCTCGGCTCTTTCTGGAAAGGATCCCAGCTGCTCAGGAGACACAATGCTTGAATGATACATCAGAAAGAGAGGTGGTGAAACCACTGGCTGTGCACCAACTCTCCCATTCCATGAGACAGGCTACTGGCACCATGTGGTGTCCTTGGGCTGTTTACTGGTTCACCAAGACTGTCCAAAAGTCTCTCAATAAAGTGAGAGTGATATAGATGACAAACCCTGTGCTAAATAAAATCTGTGTCTTGGTAACCTCATCTCATGTCAGTCTTTTCCTGAATCTGGCCCTGTGTGCTGCAGCGCTGTGTCTTTTCCCCCCAGAGATCAAATGCTGGTCTTATTGGCTCCAAGTGCATCAAATCCAATATTTGCACTGTTTAAATGGTTTCAGGAAGGCAATGTGTTAGCATCTAGCTCTTAACACCAGCTGAGCTCCTTACATACCCTGCTGTTTTGTTTTTCTTTAGGAGTTTGCTGCTAATGCACTGGGAGTGCCTTCAAATCGGATTGTAGTTCGAGTGAAAAGAATGGGAGGAGGATTTGGAGGAAAAGAGAGTAGGAGTACTATTTTGACATCTGTAGTGGCTGTTGCAGCCTTCAAGTAAGTTTGGGTGTGGGGGAACAGGGATTTTTTTCCTTCAGATTGTCTCAGGCTGCCTCTTTCTGGAACACCATTTGTGCTGGAGCACTTTCAGTACTCTTCGTGTCTTCTTACTGTACAACTTATAGCAAGCTTGGGATTTCCCAAAGGAGGTGTCTAATGGGTTCTTATCTGGTAGGAGGGATTGAACCTGTCCAGAGGGGCTAAGTTTATGTGGGAATGTCAGCTTTTAATAGCAAAGGGGAAAAACCTCCTTATTCTTTATTCCTTTGGTGCTTTGTGAAAACTTTTGTCTCTCAAATTATGTGCCTCTCCCCCCCACTTCACCCCAAACCATTTAAAAAATCCAGCACCAGCCGTGTTTATTTTTTTGTTTGTTTGTTTAATAGAGATATGAGAATCTCTTCCTTATTCAAAACTCTACTACACCAGTCTTGCATCGTTATTAGTTTGCTCTTCTGCAAACTCCCTCTTTGGACTTTTCCTTGGGAATGGTGGCAGGCCTTGGAACCCACACTTTTCAAACCCCTAAAAGCTCAGGGAATGAACCTCGGTTGCAATCATTTGTGAAGAGTGGATTGGAAATGTGCTCCCGGTTTCTGGAGTTTTGCTGTGGGCTCATGTTTAACTGTGCAGGCTTTGGGTGAACATGGTGTCTGAGATGACATTTCTGCCCTGCCTGTACCCTGCCCTTCCCAGTACTGCCCTTGCTGGCTGTGCTAGAGGGATCTTGCAACACAGCAGCAGTTTGATACAATACCTTTGGACAAGAACAGCCAAAATGAAACTCTGGTTTTAAATTGACTTTATTTTTTTCTCTTCTGAGCAAACAGCCTGTTTTCTCTAATTAATCAGTAATATATATTTGCATTCTTTTCTTCTCTTTATCTCTGCCAACCAAACCACTGTTTGACACCCTGGAGGTTACAAAATAACATCTATGACATTCACTAGATACTCCTACAACCTGAAGACAGGCACTTGGAAGGCAAAATTTTTAGAAAATTAAGAGCAGCTCCTACTCTCCTCCTTGATAAGAAATAAGCAAATAAATCAAGGTCAAATTGAAGGCTAGTTAGTACTTTACTTTGCATTATTATATAATTCCTATGGCATTGTCTCTTTCAAAACCGAAAGAGTGCCTTGAGAAATAGTCTGGAAAACAGTGATTGCTCAGTTGTTAGCATCTATCGCTATAAGAAATTATCATTTTTTTAAGATACAAGAGTGTTTGCAAGAGTTTTCACAAACAGGTCCCAACTTTGGAGATGTTAAATTTTTTTTACTCAGTCTTGCCATTTTCTTAAGAGTAAGATATATAAACCAAGCAGTTTACCCCTAACTGTCCATTGCCACCCTGGAAAGACAAAAAGAAGAGTCTTGTTCTGCAGGAACTGTATTGTGCATTTCAGCCTTTGCCTAAAAGCTGTGTTCTTTAACAGAACTGGCCGTGCAGTGAGGTGCATGCTGGATCGAGATGAGGACATGCTGATAAGTGGTGGGAGGCACCCCTTCCTGGGGAGGTACAAGGTATGCACACACATCAGAAGAATCCATGTGGTCTCAGTGCTGTCCCCTGAGACATCAGAGAGCAGTAAGATAGTGTGAAAAAACACTGCTATGGTTGTTTCACCTCTGATCTCCCCCGCTGCAAATGGGCCAGATCATATGGGCTGTAGCATTTTTCCTGTTAAAGTGCTGCAGGAGTTATTTTGGCTTGGATAGTTCCCTTCTTGTGATCTCAGCATAAGTAATTGTGTCTTCCTTGCAACCAAGACTTTGCCCCTGCTGACAATCACATTGCTTTTAGCCCGTTCCTTTAAAGCATGCTTTACACAGCAACATGATTTGTTAACTTCCTTTCTGCTTCAATCCCCCTCCAACTGCTGCTGCCTTTGAAAGCAAAAACCAGTTAAGGAAATTGTGGCTATGATAAGCAGCCAGTGCTTAATTTAGAAGAGTTCTCTGGAGCACATGCAGGATCCCTTTACTGGGGAACTCCCTCAGCTGCTGGCTGTGCCTGCCCAGTGCTGCACTGGGGACAGTCAGCCCTCTCTGCCTCTGTGACATCCATTCACTTTTTGGAGGCAAGCACAAACCAGAACATTTTTGTAGAAAACTGATTACTGAGGAGACACTCTCTTGACAGGTTGGATTCATGAAGAATGGGAAAGTCAAGAGTCTGGAGGTGTCATACTACAGCAATGGGGGCAACTCCATTGACCTGTCTCATGGTGTAAGTGAAGTTTTCTGGTGGCTAATTAAGTGGAAGGTGTGTTTCTGTGCAACCCTCTGCCCTGCCTTCAGAGAGCTGCTGGCTACAGCATTGCTTGTACATGCAGCTCTTTGACATGACTGAAAACAGATTTTTGAAGGGCTTTTGGAGCTTCTACAAATGCTCTGTGAGCCAACTGACCTGCCTTGGCATGTGCCACATAATTCTTACGGATGCTGTAATAACTCGGATTGAGCAAAGGGGGTCAAGAATGTTTGCTCTGCATTACAGAGGGCTGTGATGGGAAAGTTGTTGCACAATGCAAGATGACTGATAGATCCCCAGCTCTGGGGAAAGATAGTTGCTTGGAAAAAGCAGCATCCCAGTCAACAAGCTGGTCAGGGCAGAGTGCCTAAATCAACACACTTGTAAAGGACTGGCTAAAGCCAACACTAAGTTCACAAGCAGTGAGAACAAAAAATGGGCCCAAGTTCTGAGTGTGTCTCCAAGAAGTTTTGCACTGATGAGTGAAAAACTCCTCTTCTGTCATGTGAGTGACCAACTCAATAGCCAAGTGTCACTCAGGTTTACTCTAGCTCACTTTCTCCAGTTCACTGAGTCTTTGATAATTTCCTGCAAAAATGGATGCTTTTCAACAGGAAAGAACTGCAAGAGCTCTCTACCAGAACCACATTTGATGCTGGCAATGTGGCTGGTGCTGGGCAGACCAGAATGATGGGCAAATGTCTTTGGATAAGTTGAGGGCCTGGTTGAGAGAACATCTATTTAACTGCCTTTTTGACTGTGTCTGAATTGGGGGCTGGAAAGTGCTCCATGTAGAAATAAGGTTGGGTTGTGTGTAATGTCCTCTCTGTGCTGCTGCTAGAAGGGAAGTCTGGAAACATAAGCCAGAAAGAAGCTCTGTCCCTTTCCCAGTGTGGATAATAAGTGGACAAAGATCTCAAATCTTGCAGTTCAGTAGTTATTTCATATGTTTGCCCTTACTGCCATAGCCCAGTGCTGAGTTGCATGATATCAGCACGACTTCTTTTCCAGTAAGAGATTACTCAATACAATGAAAAGAAAACTCTGTTTCTTCCAGACAGGTAATGGCATTTACTAACAGTCTGACTCAGCATGAGCCCAGGGACAAAAAAGGACTTTGAAGCTCAATCTGCCCCAGAGCCGTAAATGTCAACAGAGAAGTGTGCTTATTGTCCTGTCCTTCAGGAGGACACCACTTGACATTCCATTGCATGTGGGAGGCAGTTCTGGCTGTGCTTCAGTGCTCATCCAGCTGTCTTCACTGCAGCACTGCAGGGTGCAAGAGAAAGTGCTGATTGTTGTAAATTAGCTTCAGAGCTTCCAGTCTGGTTTTGACACTGGTGAGAAGTCTGACATCCAATTCATGTAAAATGTGTCCTCCTCCATTCCTTTTCTTCACCAGGTAATGGACAGAGCCCTGTTACACTTGGATAACTCCTACAACATCCCCAATGTCAGCAGTGTGGGCTTCGTTTGCAAGACCAACTTGCCTTCCAATACAGCCTTCCGTGGCTTTGGAGGGCCCCAGGGAATGATGATTGCTGAGTGCTGGATGAGTGACCTTGCTCAGAAGTGTGGCCTGCCACCTGAGGAGGTACAGACCTGCTGACACCTTCCAGGGTACTGCTGCCTTTGAACAAGCTCTGAGAACTGCATCAGCCACACAAAATTTTTAAGCATAAGAACTTTTGCTTCCTTTTTGCTGAGCTTCTAGCAGGATCTCAAACTTGTGTGACAGAAACATTCTAGCATGGATTATCTTCTGTTTAGTTAAATTCCCTGGTAGCCTCAATTTTGTAACATCTGCTTTAAGGATAGATATTAAGAAGAAAGTCCAAAGGCCCTAAGTATTTTAAACTGACTGACAATATGGTTTAAGTCCCAATCTCTGAAAATTTCCAGTCTTAATGTCTTAGCTCATGTTTTCCCATAAACAGATATATGTTTTTGAATTGTTTTGATCCTTGCCTCTTTGTAGAATGAGCAAAAGTGTAAAATCAGGAACCAACACACTTTAGATCTCATCCCTCCTTGTCCAAGGCACTAAACTTGGCCTGTCCTTTCTATGTCTCTTTGGGAAGGTGAGGAAGCTCAATCTCTACCACGAAGGAGACACTACTCATTTTAATCAAAAGCTGGAGGGATTTACTCTACGGAGATGCTGGGATGAATGTTTGTCCAGCTCCAGCTATCATGCCAGGAAGAAACTGATTGAAGAATTCAACAAGTAGGTGCTCTGGAGCTGTGTTGTCACTGGGTGCACCTGTTCCCTACTAACATCTGATGTTCTCTTAGCAACTCGAGTGATGTGAAGTCACACCTTATATTTGCAGACTGGCTTTTAAATATTTCTCTTTTTGAAATCCCTTCATGCTCACTGTCAGAGGAAAAGTCTATCAGTGAGCTGATAGCATAAATAAGGCCAGAATCAGACCTAGCATTATATGATTTTGTAAGTGAATTGTAGCAAAGAAGAGGATCTCTAAGTCCAGTTAGGATTTTCACATGACTGTCAAGGCACTCTGTTTATGCTTTCCTCTGCCCTATAGACTTTTCTAGTTGGCTTGTATATATAACTGAATAGCTAATAGTATGGACAACTGCTTCTATAATGCTTGTGGAAAACATCTTCAGTTGGAATTTCTTCTTGTTGGAACACACAAAGAAAGCCTTTATTCAATACAAAGTAGTGATTTATTCAGTCTATATCAGTGATATAGATAAATTAGTGATATACTCAGTCAGGTATTTAATTTCCATTTGATGCACAGTCAGAGGGAAGCACAATCTTAATTTATGATAAAAGGCTCATGGGTATACAAAAAATGAACAAATAATGTTCTTTCCTTGCAGGCAGAACCGCTGGAAAAAGAGAGGGATGAGCATCATTCCTACTAAATTTGGCATCAGTTTCACTGTCCCATTTCTGAACCAGGTCTGTAAATGTCATTTGCCCTTTCACTAGAGAAGCTGGATTTATGCTGCCTCCCCCAGGCCCTTCTCCATTTTTACCAAACTGGAGCTTCTTGAAGAAGTAGTAAATTAGTTAAGAAAGATCACACATTTTTCAAGCCAAAATGAGCACCACAACAGTTATCAGTTTATACTGTCCAGTAGACACCACAATATAGCTACATTTCCAGAATATTGTGTTAGGTTGATTTCCCTGCCTTTCTCAATAATAGAAACACTGCTCCTGTGTTTCAGCTGATTTGATGGACTGTCAGTGGTGTTGGAAAGTTGAGGTAAAGGATTCATCTGTGTTTCACAGGGGCGGGATTGGATTACTTCACCTGCTTTCTGAGCTGAAAATACTGACTGGTGTTTGTTATATCACTGGAACTTCTAGTGAGTTGGTGAGACTAAACCAAACTCACCTCAAGTGTAAACAAGTGGCTTTAGTTGCACCAAAGAACAACCTTAGTCAAGTTCTGAACGAATTCTCTCTGTAGTCTGCTAAGTACTCCACTAGTTAATTTATGGTGATTAATGTTCTCTCTTGTAGGCTGGAGCTCTGGTCCATGTGTATACAGATGGCTCTGTGTTACTTACACATGGGGGGACTGAGATGGGTCAAGGACTTCACACTAAAATGATTCAGGTAATAATGAGTTGGGGCTTAACTGAATGAGACATCTTTTCACGACAATTACACTCTCCCTACAGTATTGCCTCAGGAAACTTGACACTTCCTCTGTGTGCATACAGAGAGGAACAAATCAGGACTAATTCCTCTTCACTGTTTGAGCAGCAGTGCTAGATATCCAGAGTATTATCACGATTTAGTATTAGAATTAGATTCTTCATCATCTTAAATCTCATATGTAAATAATGCAGGTTATGCTTACAGTTTAACTTCTCTGGCAATTTCAGTTCACCCCATAAAGGTACAATTTGCATCCATTTAATGCAAAAATTAGTTGTATTGAAAACATATGCATATGCTAGTGCTTTTGTAGTTAAAAAGGCTTAAGGGAGCAACATTCCTTTGGCAGGAAAATTAAAGGAAAATCTAATAGGGCTTTTTGATCTTCTGATTCTTTTAACTGTTGAGAGAAGAATTTAGTCTCATGATAGTGAAGTAAATGTCTGTCTTTATGGCAAAAGTGTGTGTGCTCACACACATGCAGTCTGTGAAATGCAAGTATAACAATGTTCTGGCTAATTCTAAGCCACTGGACAACTCAGTCTGCAAGAAAAATTTAGTTTATGGTGGGAGAGAGTAGAGGTTGCAATGTAGGTCCTGGCAGTGCAATCATTGACTGACAATGCTCATGGATAAGAAGTGCTGCTTACCATTTGTTTACCTTTGCTCCACAGGTTGCTAGCAGGGCCCTGGGAGTCCCCACCTCCAAGATTTACATCAGTGAGACCAGCACAAACACTGTCCCAAATACCTCCCCGACAGCCGCTTCAGTCAGCGCCGACATCAATGGAATGGCCGTCCATGTATGGAAGCTGAGTTGTTTAATGGAGTGGGTTACAAGGGAGGGCTCCAGGGCACGAAACATTGTCCTGTATTTATCTGTTGCTTAAGGAAAACAACCATCCAAAGGCAGTTCCAGTCTAAGGGTAACATAACATTACCGGGAATAGCTAGGAGTGCTTGTGAATTACTATATTTTTTAAGTTATTTGAAACTGTCCTTCAGTCCTTTGGCACTTCTAAGAATAAAGTACTTAAGATTGCTCAAAATGAGCAGAACAAGGCATCCATTTAAACAGCCAGCCTCTAAGTAATTAATGCAGCCTTATCTATAGCAAATGCATTTTGCTGCACGTGTTAATAGCAAATGTTTTGAGAGCTGTGCACCACAAGCTGGAAGTGTTGATCAGCTCAGAGCAAACGTTTTGCTGTAGCAATGGCATGGTTGTGGCTGTCCGCCATGGTGGAGTTATAAATGCATGTATTTGCTGGGTATGTGGTTTTTTCCATTTTAAAAGAAGAATTTAGTACTTAGTATTTAGAATTTAGTAATTTAGTCTCAGTTTAAATGAAAAAGGGAAGTGAAATCTGCAAAGTAAAATCATCAGTCTGTTTTTATTCTCTGCACAGCTTATCTGAGTTGGTTGAATTTTGGGAAGAAATTCTTTGTTCTTTCAGTGTTAAAGGATCATCTTGTGAGCTATGCTGAGCTGTCCTGTACAAACGGGGTACAGATAAAGTTAATGTACAAATGAGCGGATTTCTTATATTTTGTGTCATGGTCCAGAAAGTTCTGTGCTGAATTTGGGATTCCGTTCTGCTAGCAGCAGAGCCAATCTCTTTTAAAATCCTTTTCAGGCAACATTTCTTCCTATGTAGCAGGACCTCCATTAGTGAACTTTGTTCCTTTTTATGATTTGCCAAGGCCCTAAAGGCAATATTGATTTAAATAGAAGGCTCTTTGAAACTCTTAGAGGGCTCTTAATACTATAAAGTAGCTATTCAAATCTTAAAATATTTCTTCTCTTTCTCTTTGTTTCTAGAACGCATGTCAGACTATCTTGAAAAGACTTGAGCCAATCAAACAGTCTAATCCCAAAGGATCCTGGGAAGACTGGGTAAGGTGTTTGTATCATGAGACAAGTGGACATTGTCAGAGATTGTTTTAGTTGGCAAACCACGTGTGCAGGTGTGTCCTCCAAGCCTTCTGCATCTTGCTAGCATAGTTAAGCAAAGACAGTGAAACACAAACCTGGCACGGATTTCTAAGTAATTAAAGTTTACACGAGGTCATCCCCAACATATCAGTTATTACTTTAATCCTGAGATTTCTCCAAATTTTGGGGGCTGATTATGACAAACGTCATCGAACAAAAGTCTTGAGTGGTTACATATATCTCTGTAGTCAGACTACAGTTTTGGACAGAAGGAAACCTGATTTTTAATGAAGGGATTCTATAGCATAGACAGCTCTTGTTGAGCTGCCATTCAGCCTCTGTGGTGCTCCTTGTCTGCAATATCTCTGTCCCCTCAATGAGAAGAGATGGATGGGCTGTAAGGCTCTCTTCAGATCCAAGCTCTGCTCTTCATCCGAGGAGTTTTGACTTTGTGATTTGGAAGTCAGGATAGAATTTCCCTCACTGAAGTCAAGATGACCTGTCAATTTGACCTTTGTCTCTGAGGCTAAAAGTCTAACCTGTAGCTGAGAGACAAACAAACAAAATCCTCTGCCAGTGATTCAAGTTCTGCCCTTGGTAGCTGCTGACAGGGCTATTTGAGGAAGCAGCTGCAATCATGTTTGGCAGTGCTGGAGTTGGGTAGTGTGACAGCTGTCTATCACTGGACATTTTCTACTTGAGGCCTCCTGAAAATGTTTTTGTGCAGTTATTTTGAAGGGCCTGGTTGTACATTTTACTATTTTCAAACTCTTTTTCATGTTGCCAGATTAAAACTGCCTACGAGAGTTGTGTCAGCCTGTCAGCCACGGGGTTTTATAGGTGAGTGAAAATTCACACTGCAGAGGCACTGACTAGATTCCATGTATGGCATCCAGGGAAATTCTGGGAGGATTTACAGTCCCCAGGACCCTGTCACTGCTCTAAATTAAAGATGCATTCCCTTTCCTACCTACAAGTGGTAAGCTGAGGTTAATAGTCTCCTGGCTGGGGAGAATCGATTCCTGATGGAGCACAGCTCTGAGGACAAGTGAATCTGGAGTAGATCTGACTTAATTCCAGCTGACCTTGGTCTGAAGAGGTGTAATTGAAATCAGAGCTTTGCCTGGGCTATGCTCTGTGTTAGCCTTGTGACCTAGTTTTGCACTAAAAACTGCCATGTGGGGTAAGAGGGGACAAGGGTTGTCCTTGAGGAAAATCTTGCCTCTTGTGGCATGAGCATATACCAGTGTTTCCAGAGTTGTTCTCCTACTTCAGACTCCTGCTGAACCCTGTGTAGTTGTGAAATGAGGCACTTCTCTTAGTCAGTTTTACTGCTGGAGGAAAACAGAGATCCATTATCTTTAAGGCTGAGGGGTTGACATTAAAAAATAAAGTGTTGAGAAGAACCTATTTAGGACTAAAATACACTGTTAATTTCATTTGCATCCCTAAAATGTATTTTTCCTCTTAACCAAATGACTTGTCAGCATTTTAATAAACCAGTTTTCAGATAAAGTATCCAGATGCAAAGTTTGCCATGAACTGTGCTTAAAATCAGTTCTTAGCTTAAGAAAGATTCTGCTTCAGCTTGACTATGTCCTGAAATTTAATGGCCTTAAAGAAATGTTCAACTGCACTCTAAAAGCAAAGGATTTTCTACTGGATTGGTAGATAATAGTCATCACAAGGCCTGAGATTTATGGGCAAATAAAGATGGCTAAAACAGTTTGATAGTTTCAATAAAGTTTTGGAATACAGAGCAGATTTAGCAGATTTCTATTTATAGTTGTTTACATTTTTAATTTCTGCACGGGCTTAACAGAAGGAATGAAACAAAAATGAATAAGGATTTTGATAAGTAGCAATGTAGTTGTATTTGGGTTTTTTTTCACGGAATGAAATGTGGGGTTTTTTTCTCTTTGTATCAAGAATTCCTGATGTTGGGTACAACTTTGAAAAGAATGAAGGGAAACCGTTCTCCTACTTCAGTTACGGAGTTGCCTGCTCTGAGGTTGAGATAGATTGCCTGACAGGTGACCACAAGGTGAGGGGTCAGCAGTGAAACAGCTCTCTGTGTTTTGTTGAAGGGAACATTCACGGGAGGTTAAAACAAATACTGGGTGTCAGCCCATTCCTGTCTCTGTCATTGGTCTGGTGTGACCTTCAGCAAGTTTCTTAACTCCTCTGTTCCACAGTGCAGCAGTCCGGAAAGTGTAATAAAACAATAATTACCAACCCTGCGGGGATTTGGGGTTTAATGAATGATTGCAAAAGTTATTGGATTTGCTTGAGTAAGAGATAGCAGCACTGCATTGGCATGAAAGAACAGAAACATCCTGGAATAGAGTTAATAATTTAAAATAACACTGAAGACTTCTGGAAAGAAAGAAAAAAAAAAAGAAAAAAATTTAATCAAGATCTGACCTAGTTGGTTATGCTCAGCTGCAAACCACTGATACCAGCATCTTGGAATTAATATTAACTGGGTCCATTAAACCTCTGGGGAAAACTGCAGTGAGATCCTTTGAATTAGTTTTGGGGTGAACTCAGATTAAAAGACGGTATGAGAAGTTCACCTGAGATAAGATTATATGGGATAGTGTTTGGATACTCTTCCTCACACATGATGGACCAGTTCCAGAGATCTGTGCTGATTTACCCTTTATTCCTGTTTTTTAGAACATTCGCACAGATATTGTTATGGATGTTGGTACCAGTCTAAATCCAGCCATAGATATAGGACAGGTAAGTGAAAAAGTATTGCTATTTCCATCACATTAAAGCAATTACACTGCTCTCAGGTTTTTCTATTTGTTATCCCTCTCCAGGCTGTACCTTTGCAAACACAACCTTTTTAACTTGGCACAGAATTACATAGGGAAATATTCTGTTAGGGTTTGGGGATTTTTGGCTTGGATAATAAGACTACAGGATATTGTTCAGTTACCACTTCATTGATGTTTTTCAGGCTAAATCACCCACCTGATCTTATGCTCTAATCTGTCAATATTAAGTTTATTTAATTTAGTGAAAATTCTCCTGTGGCTAAAAAGTTATGATGGCAGATTCTGTCCTCCAGCTGCTGCTGTGTAGAAATCTCAATAGGAAGTTGGGCCAGTCACTTATCTTGCAAAGTCTTTGGGCAGGCACAAGACTACTTCAAAATTCTGTGCAGTAATAATCACAATATCTCTTAGCAGATAAAGGGAATAAACCCAGGGTTGTTTGACAGACCAAGAGATGAATTGTTAGATGGATGCTTATCTAGCCATCTTAGCTCCCTGGCTAACTCTAGATATTTATATGGTGTAACTCCAATGAAACTGCTGCAGGATTTGGGATGACAGGACAGCATGAGTTGCAAAGCTCTGATAATAGCTAAAATGAAATTTCCTTGAAAGTGACATTTTTTTCAGAAAGAGATTATTTTTGGAAGTGTCCAAGGGGAGAAAGATATTTTCTGTCTTTGCAGCCTGTTGCTTTAGGTTTGGGAATTGAGAGATGGACTAAATGGAGCCTGTAAAAGAGGTCTTCAATTCCTGTGTCCTTCCATGAATTGCTGCAGAGGATCTGGGGACATAGGAGAGAAAGGATATGGCACGAGTGCAGGAATACAAGTACATGGAGATGGGCCAATGAATGCTTCTGCCAAATCTTTAGGCTGCTCAGATATCTCAGTGGGCATAGAGAGCAGAGCTGCTTTGTGCAGGGCTGTTCAAGCACATCCTCCTCTCATAATCTTTTTTTTCCTCAAAATTTACAGAAGAAAAAAATACGTAATCAAGTTTTTAAGTACTTAAATGGATATGGGAGTGTTTTCGCAGGTGGCTGTGCTGCTGACCTGATAATACACAGCAGTTAGGAAAGCATTTATGCTGAAATAGAAAGCATAAAATAGTTTGTCTTTAGATGTTTCATCTTTAGTTTTTTTAGTCTACTTGTCCTTTGATATATCAGCAAGTACAACTCATTCAGTGTCCACCTGCCTGAGAAGAAATCAATATTTTTTCATTGATTTTTTTTTTTCTGTTGCTTCATCAGAAAATTGCTGTCCTGCATTTACAGAAAATCTGTTTGCGTGTATTTGTAAATTGCTTCACCCGCCAGGGAAATGCAGCCATATTTACGTGGGAACACAGGAGTTGTGCAAAGATTGTACCCAGCAGACAAGGGTTTAGAGATAAAAAGCGGGATCTGAGTCAGGTGGGGAGGGTTGAAAACCCTGGTGGATGTCGTCACTGCTTGTCCTTGTGCAGGGAAGAACGACAACAACAAAGAGAACGTAACCTTGTTTGGATGTGTTTGTAGATAGAAGGAGCCTTTGTCCAGGGCATCGGGCTCTTTACCATGGAGGAGCTGCGCTACTCTCCTGAAGGGAACTTGTACACTCGAGGGCCTGGCATGTACAAAATCCCAGCATTTGGAGACATCCCAACAGAATTCTACGTGTCCCTTCTCCGTGACTGCCCCAATAGCAAGGCAGTTTACTCATCCAAGGTATGCCTGTGAGGTCTGTGGGCCTCTTACTGCCCCAAAACACCGTGAAGCTAAGTGGGATAAAATCATGATCCTGTGTGGCTTAACAGTTCATCTCATTATGCTGTGGTTACTCTGAGGTCAGGATGTTTTCCTGTTTTTATCAGAAATGTGTGTACTATCCTTTCTAGTTAGGAATAACTGAAATAACCCACACATTGCTGCCCTGATGCCTATTAGTCAGAACTGAAGTGGCTTTACTCTGTGAGAAAGCTTGTGTTTTCTTCCTGTTTCTTCTTTAATGGACCAAGTGTGGATTGAGCTCAGTCTTTCCTTGCTGATCATACCTGGCACACTGCAGCCTGTTTTAGCATCATGTTTCCTCACTGAACATATCTGGCAGATTGAGGTTCCCATCTGGAAGGCAAATCCTCACTCTTGCTTGTGCTCTGTCTAGGCTGTGGGAGAGCCACCTCTGTTCCTGTCTGCCTCAGTGTTTTATGCCATTAAAGATGCCATCTACTCAGCGAGGAAGGACTCTGGCCTGACAGAGGTGTTCAGGCTGGACAGCCCTGCCACCCCAGAGAGGATCCGCAATGCTTGTGTGGACATCTTCACCAAAATGGTAACAGCCCCTGGTCTCAGTCTGCTCCCTGGCCAGCCTGCCCCACGGGGAGTGTGCCTGGAAGTCACAGAGGGCTGGGGCTGGGATTAGGATGGGGAGGCTGTGTCCCTGCTGCAGTGGATGGGTATTGTTTCGTGGGTGTTATCCTTCATTTAATGTGCATTTAATCAGCTGAGAGCCAAATGCACAGCCCAGCAGTGCTAGGGCTCCCACTGCAGGAAGGGCTGCTGTGTAGTATCTCTGAAGTGTCCAGTCCATTCCATTCTCCAAGTGTTGTGCGTGGCACAAAGGCACTGACTGCTTGTCTTGATTCTTCTGACTATCATCTCTCAGAGAATCATTACATATGGTGAGGGCCATGGTATAATTTGGTGGTGTCCCTCAGCAAGGGAGGGGGGAGAAAATTGTTCCTTCAAATACTCCCTTCTGAATGTTATGGCCACAGGAGTCTCCTTAGAGCTGTGGACTTGATCTGAGGGAGTGCAGGAGTTATCCCTGTCACTGGCTTCTCATGGGCTGCTCTGTCATAGTGTTGTCACAGGGCTCTGTAGTAATCAACTATCAGGCCTCTAACAGAAGTGCCATGAGACAGACATCTCTGTGTTTGTAAAAACTGGGATAGGAGCTCCTATCTTCACATGTACAAAGTGCCCCACCTGAAAAGCAGCATGGTGGGACATGCTGAACCCTGGACAGGACCCTCATTTGTTGCTAACTCAAATATTTTTTTCTCTTTATAGTGTCCTTCTGCTGAGCCAGGGACCTTTAAGCCGTGGTGTGTGCGTGTGTAGGAGGAAAGTTTGAGGAGTGAACTCTGCTGAAACTGAGCTTACATCAGAGGAACCACAAGGCAGTAGGACTATGATGGAGAAAAAACCAACCTGTGTTCATGTGGCTCACCCACTGATTCACGGAGCTTTCACATTTAATTGTCCAATCATTGTTTTTCTCTATGAGAGGGAATTGCTGCCAGATTATAGCTGTGATGTAAATTCAAATGAAGAGTAAGTTGAAGGTGATGTTACCCAGGTGTAATTGAAAAATCTTAGCGGTTTCATATAAATTGCTGCAAGGATGCTTCTTCCAGCCAATGTGAAATAATAGGGTAGTTGTTTCTTCTTTTTCCTGCTGTGGGGAAAAGATGTATCACCTTGTGATTCTATGCCAAGAAGGACTTAAATGTGTTGAGCCCAGACACAGAGTCCTCTAGCTGAGATGAGAGAAACTGTAGGAGGTGCTGAGGGCTGGACCCTGCTGTGTCCCCTTTGCACACAAAGTCAGGTGTATCCTAGAGGGAGATGAGCAGGACTTTTGATCTTGGCTAATGAAGATGGTCTTAGCTGTGTAAAAGTGTTTCAGAGGAAAAGGCTGAAATGTGACCAATAACTGATTTATCCCAAGTTCAATGATTGTTTCTTTGTCTGCACCTGGGCTTTAATGAGATTTTAGTTCAAGTGTTACCTTGTCTCCTCTGATTAAAGATAAAAACTAAATATACCAAGAGTACTTCCAGCAAGATGATGCTTTGTTTGACACAGACTCTTCCCATCCCACACCTCCACATCTCTCCCCATCCTTCAAATAGGAAAGGACATCAGAGACCTTGGAGTGACAGAGAAGTTTGCTCACCGATGTTCCCAAGGCAATTTATACCGGCCTAAGCAAGGGGCACGAGGAGGTTGGGCACAGCTGGGGATTAGCTGGCTCTGGGTGCCCTCTAGGGTCAATCCCTTGCTGTCATGGCCTTGCCTTCTTTTCAAGAGAATTTTTAGTTTTGCTGAATGTAAGAGAATGGGTACATTTTGCTGCAGGCACTGCTTGTCTAAAAAATGTGCTATGTGATGACCTGGTGTCATCTGGATTGAATATATTTTTCATGTTGGATTTAGTGCTGGGTGTCCCTCCTGACAGGTTTTGACACTGTCAGATTCAACACTGGAGCACCATGTTATCTCTAGATGGTGTCAGCCACATAGTGTGCCTCCTTATCCTTTGCAAACTTTTATCTATTTTTCTGGCCTATTGATTTATGAAAATGGCCTTTTTCACTTTTTGCACTCCTAGGGCCATCAAAAAAATATGGTGCAAGAGGATGTAACTCCTGGTCTAAAAATTTGCTTGTGTACAAATTTCTTAAAATTGGTCTTTATCTTAGGACTGGACAATGTATGCTCAGTGCAAAATATTTTTTTAAGCACTCCAGGGTATATGGCTTGGAAAGGTGTAGATATATTTCTCAACTTGAAATATTATGGATCTGCCATCTAGAAGAAGAGAATATGTGAATTGCAGGAAGATTTTTGTGCCTGTTGGGCTTGCTGTGTAATTGTTTCATTAATTGAAATACAATATTGGTGTTTCTTAAGCTCTGAGGTAGTGGGTAAGAACACATTTTTGTTTTCTCCTGAAAGTTGGTAGTATGTAAGAAACCTCTTAGAGAAGCAAATGTGGTAATTCATGTGCAAGAACAGCTATTGCAGCCTGTGTGTCCACATTCTTGGGTGTCCAGGGAGGGATGCAAAATACGATGTCTTACAAAGTAAGGTAGATTGATATCAGCTGCTTCTGTTAATTCAACCTCGTGAGATTACTGGACATGCTCATTCAGACCAGGATGAGAAGAAATACAAAGGTAATGTGTTTTAAAGCAGAGCATGGGGACACGGGCAGAATGAGATGTCAAGGCGCTCCCAGTGTCATCCCAGGGGAAAATTGCCAGTGTTCACGATAGGCCTGCTGCCTGTCATGGTCCTGGGAGATGTTGGGCTGTCACCAGCAGGATGAAAAGTGCTCTTTCTCCCCCTGCTTTTGGAATTTTCATCATTTCAGGATGGGCTTGTGAGTGTCTCATGCAGTCACAGTGACTGCCTGGTCAGGTGATATTTTTTTTAAATTGCATGTATCAAGTCTCTGTTTTGCTATTTGCTTTGTGAGTTAATTGGAAGTGCATTTGCCAAGTTCTGTGTACGTGCAGTGGTCAGAGCAGGCTGTTCAGAGCAGACCTGTGGAGCCAGTTTTGCTGCAGCATCAGTGAGCCACTCTTTCCTGGGCAGCAGCCCTGGCCCTCATGCCCAGCCCAGCTTGGGGCCCTCTTGATACCCCTGCCCAGCTGATGGAGAGAGGAAACACTTCCCTTTTGGGGTGCACTGGAACTGGGGAGGGCACTGGTATAAAATCAGAGTTGCAAAGTAATGACAGCAACTGATTGTGAGGGTGTAGGGAAAAGGGAAGCTTGGAGGCTAAATAGGAATTTACAGAAAGATCATTGTACTACCTGCCTGTGCTGTGGGGCTCTAAGGAACATGAAGCTGAGGTTTTATTGTCACCTCTCAATGTCTGAATATTTCATACATTGCTTTTCCATTAAAATGCCTGGCACCTTAGGAAAGGGCTGAGGAGGGCTGTCAGGAGGAGAAGATCCCTGCCTTGAGGTGTGCTCTGCACTACAAAGCTGTGAAGGAGCAGCTGTCCTGCCCTGAGTGCACAGCATTGTCCCCTGCCAGGTGCTGTGTCCCATCTCCTCGCACCACATCTCGCTGTGGGGTTCTCAGCTCATTGTCACTGGAGGGAAAGCTACTCATGAAGAGAAAAATGTTCCTTTTCTACTACTTCCCATTGAAATAGAGCATGGATGCAAGACTCCAATTTAATGGCATATAATTGGAAATTTGCTGCTTTTCTTCTTCCAGAAGTCTGTCCTCAGAAGAGGAACTATGCCATCTTGTTAGACTGTAAAGTACTGCACACAATAAGGGCACTTAAATAGTAATTCCTGCAGCTGGAGAGGATGTGGGAGTGTGAAAGGAGCCCAGCTGATCTGATGTTTTAATGCTATTAATTGCATGGCCTTCTGTGAGAGAGGGAGGCCAAGATTTTGATAATTGTTTTAGGCCAGTTCTAATCAACAGTTTTCACTAACATTCTTTAATGAGCACTGTCAAATTGGTACCATGAATATATGTGGAATTCTCTGTGAATGTCACAATACTGCAAAATAAAGCTGCTAAATACTCTGGAAACAAGTATCCTATGGTCAGAGTCTGTCAGGATTCAAAATCTAGACAGCTTCAGTTCATCCTTGGTGTTTGTTTGACAAAGATGGACCCTTCCCTTGGGCTGTGAGTGAGATCAGCTCAGTGACCAAAGCTGGGAGAGGGCAGGTGATTGCTCTGGGCTCCCCAGCTGGATGAAGCTGTGAGCCAGCTGGAGAGACTGGGCCTCTGTTTGCCATGCTGGCAGCCAAGTCCAAAAGAAAGCAGAGTCAGTCCTCGTGCTTCTCTGCCAGCAGGAGCTTGTAGCAGCCACATCTGTTTTCCACAGCAGCACAGTGATGCATTCTGACATTTCTAGCCACCTCCACAGGGCGCACCAGTTGCTGACACAAGGTGGGAGGCAGTCTGTCTGGTACTGCGGCTGGTACCTGGTCCACACTGACACTTCCTTGTCTCAGGGCTAGTGCACCGAGCTGAAGGCTGGCCTTGGCCTATTGGAGTCAGCCCTGGAAGGAGGGGAGCCAAACTCAGAACCTGTGAATGGAGCAAGAGCTGAGTCCCATCCCCAAGGCCCACTTGAGCCCACACACAATAGGATATGAGGTTGTAAAACAGAACAGTTCACACAGAACAGAAAAGACCAAATGATTGTCTGGGCTTGACCCTCCCTGAGCATGAAAAGATTGGGAACATTGCCAGTGGCTCCCCAGCAGGGTCTGCCACCCTGTGTCATATCTCATCCTCCAGCTGACATGCTCCTTTGGGAGCACTTATCTGTGTGGGAAGATTTGTCATGAAGAAGCCATTGCCAAACCTCTTGGCCCAACACGGAGCCCAGAAAAGGAAATGTCAGTGTGGTCACAGCACGTGTGATGCTGCTGTGGTTTGCAGCAAGTCCAACCCACCCTACCCCAAACTGCTGGCTTTATCCCATCACAGTTCAATTCATGCAGTTTTCCAACTCCCAGCACCACAAGTTTCCCTAGTGCCTGCTCTTGTTGTGTTTAAACACAATTCAACCACATTGATCCCTGTCCCTGCCAGTGGTCTGTCTCAGCTGTCTAACATGGAAAACCTCACTGCAAGCAGCTGGGAAGCAAAGGCCTGTCAGTATCTTGAAGCACTTGCCTTTGGATTAGTGCTCCCTGAACCAGTTCCTCCATGAGGGCTATTTCTCCCAGGTCTCTGCAGTGCTGGGGTGGTCTGACAGGAAGCTGTTAGAAAATGGGAAAGCAGCAAGGTCCCAGTGGTAGAAATGAGACAGCTGCTTCTTCTGCTGGGCAGACAGCTCGCTGAACATCTGCTCTGACAACCACCTGTAGGTCCACTGCACCTGGCTGTCGGTGAGCTCGGGGAGGAGGCTGCCCTCAAGCAGCCCAGCCCGGCGCAGCAGGTGGCCCAGCTCCTGCCTGAGGAAGCCAAACATCACTACATAGTCATACTGGATGAGGCAGGGCCGGCACAGGCTCACCAGTGGTTTCCAAGCCATGCTGCCATTGTGCATTCCACTGTCTAGGACTTCCTGGATGAAGCTGCTGAAGGATGAGCTGATGCCCATGCCTTGCAGGAATGTGGCGATCAGCCTGTGGAAAGGGTCCCTGACAAAGAGCACTTTGGTGTAAGAGCCCAGCATGGCCTTTATCTCTGTCTGGTTGAACTTGCTCAGCCACGTCTCCTTCGTGTGCAGCCGGCGGAAAGGGAGCGGCACTGGCAGCGTCACTTTTTCCTCTTTCAGCTTCTCCAAAAGCTGATTCCATTCCTCCACCCCTGTTGATGGCACTTGGCAGTACATGAGGTCCAGCTTGGTGTTCACCCTCAGATTTGAGAGCAGGGAGGCTCTCTCATCCTTGCTGCTCGGCAGTGTGGTGACTTTGCCTGCTCGGCTGCAGAAAGCTCTCAGTCTCTTCTTCCTGAGCTGCTGGATGTGAAGGAAGCTGTCCAGAGTCAAAGTGAAGCTGTCCTCTGCCTTGGGGGCCAGGTCACCTGGGAAACAGCATTTGGAGATGGAGGTGAGGAAAGAACACAGTGCCCCAAGTCAGACCCTGAGCACACAGTGCTGTTGCAGGCTCTTCTCCAGTTATTCCAGTGTGGAAAGGATTCAGTGTGGACAAAACTGAGTAGGAGAGGGGAGACCAACCCTGTCTGGCAAAGAGCTTGGCTTTGCTGGGGAATGGGTTTCTGTCCCATGAACATGTGAGATTCTGGACACCCAGACCCCCCTTTCTCCAAATCACCGTGCCTGAGGACTGGTCCCAACTACTGATTTATTTCACAGGTTCGATTCTCCACTAAATCATAATTTTTGCTTTTAATTCCTTACTTGCAACTAAACATCACAGAGGTGAGTTTACCAAAGAGTCAAAAATATTTTGAGAGACCAGGCAGTAGTAAATTGGTTTCTAGCTACAAATACAGGATGTTCTGCAAACCCTTTTGCATCTGTTTATGGGTTAACATCAGCTATCAAGTATATGTGAACATAAGGGATAATTCTTAATGGCTCAGGGAGATTTAGGGACCCAAATGGCATAATTTCTTGCATCACTTCCATATGTAAATTTTTTCTCTTGTAGATAAAAAGGCAAAAGCAAATAAAAAGCAAAAAGCAAAGAAAAGTGGAACAACAACAAAACAAATATAAAAGGCAAAAGCAAATACAAAGACAATGAGAGTGAGATTAATTTCTCAAATTTCAGCTTTGTTTTTTTTTTTTTGTCTTCTTATTTTTGATGTGAAAAGGCTGGGCACAAAACACAGTAGTTCTATATAGTATACAGACTGAAAAGTGGCAAAGCTGAATGCCATTTCTGGGCTTCAGTACTCTCCAGATCACATAAGGTGAAGAATGAAGCAGCAGAGCACCAGGCTTGTGTGTGCAGCTGTCCTGGCACAGTTCTATGTGCTGTGCACCTGAGAAGAAATTTTCCATTTAGATTAATATGACAAGAGAGGCAGGATGATTTGGTATGTAGTGTTTAGATAAAAAGTGCATGACCCAGAGGTGTTTCAGCACAAGTAAAACCTAGGAGCGCTTCTCTGCCGGCAGAGTGTTTTGTGTGAGAAGTAGATGACGATTGGCCTCCGGGAGAATGAAAGCACAGTGCGATGTACAAAAGGCAAAGGAAGCTGCAGAGCACCGGGCTGGTTGTGTGCAGTGTCCTGGTTGTAAGAAAAGCCACTGCCCTTCCAGCTGAATGCACAGTGGGAAGTCGTAAGGAAGCAAGTGAACAAGACCTTCATGTGCTGCTGCCTATTCCTCTTCCAGCGCTCTGTGGAAACATTGTGCTTGCCTTTAGGCTCCAAGATGCAGAGAACACAATTGTAGATGCAGTGGAGAAGGGAAGGACACAGTGATTGGGTGAGTTTGATGTAACTCAGGTGGGGAAAGCAGAAAGTGCAGCCCTGCGCTGGCTTTTGCTTCTGGAGCCTTTTGCTGCGAGAGCAGCTACTGAAAGTTGTCAACTGAGCTGCGAGAGTGGAAAATGTAGATGGCACACACCTCTCTGAGAAAGAAGGTTCAGAGAGGCGGTGTGCTACCCACTGTTTCAGAGCTATTTGGAGAACACATACTTTAAGAACGCCTTCTCTTCTGCAAAACTCTTCTGCAACAGTGAAGGTGTAAGAAGCTGCTTATTGCCGCATTTTGAGATGCCCAAAAGCTGGGCATTACTTTTTCAAGCAGCAAGCACTTTCTCAGCTGATTCCAACAGTGAACAAGCTTTTGCTGAACTTTTGCAATACAGTGCGCTGCTCAAACGAGCCTGGTCCTCTGCCTCTTCATTCTTCACCTGATGTGATCTGGACAGAACTGTAGCCCATGCAGCAATGGCATTCAGCTTTGCCACTTTTCACTGTGTCTGCTACACACAACCACTATGTGTTGTGCACGGTTTTCCCTCAGATTTTAGGTACACTGTCCATATAGCTCTCGGTCAGTGAAATGTGGCTGGAGAGAAGCACTTGCTGGATTAGTCGTTCTATGTCCAGGACATTAGACATAGCACCACAATCTGGACAACAAGAAGGGGACATGAAGAAAATATTTTTGTCCCGGCACATTTTTCTGTGTGAGATGTCTCTCCCAAGCTTTAGTCCTTGCAAAGCTGTAATTTGCACAGTGATATTAAAAGCTGAGATGAACAGTGCAAAGAGCGTGGCGATTGGGCACACTTTGCAGGCGGTAAAAGAAAGAGAGCAGCCTCTTTAATTTGGGTGCAAATTCAAATTTCATAGGCAAGCTCCAGATAAGCTTGACGCTTAGGCACAGTTCTCTGCATGAGATGTAGCCAAGAAGCTTTCCGTTTCGATCCAGATGACAAGAGCAGCAGAATGGTGTGGTACGTGTTGTGTAGAAGGAAAGTGCATGGCCCAGGAGCGTTTCAGCAGAAGCAAATGCTTTGGAGCACTTCACTGTGGGCGGAGCGCTCTCTGTGAGTAGTAGACGATGATTAGCCTCCAGGAGAATGGAAAAGTGACAGCTTACCAAAGGCAAAGAACAACGCCGCAGAGCACTGGGCTGGTGTGCTCAGTGTACTGGATGAAAGACAAGCGTGGCTGCCCCTGGCCTGCCAGCCGAATTCCCGGTGGCAGTTGTAAGGAGGCAGTTCAACGAGAGTCACTTGTGCTGCTACCTGTTCCTCTTCCAGCCCTCTGTAGAAACAGCTGCACTAACCTTCAGGCTCCGAGATCCAAACAACACAATGATAGATGCAGCAGATGATGAACAGATAGAAATGAGCTTGATGTGGCTTACGTGTGGTAAGGGAAAGGTGCAGCTCTGACTGGCTTTTACTTCTAGAGCCTTTATCTACAGGCACAGCTGCTGGACATTTGCAATTAAGATGTGAGAGTGAAAAAAGTGTGAGTAGGTCTATATGGAAAAGAAGATACAGAGCCACAGTGTATTGTGCTCAACCTAAATGCTGCTAAGTGAAGGGGGTACATAAAGGATGTCTTCTCTCCTGGCACTTCCATCTGTGTGACCTCTAGCTGCCTGGACTCAGCAACACGGAATTGACTGAGCTGTGGCTATGTTTTCACAGGAAAGAGGGTAAGGCAGTAAATGCCTCCTGTCCTGGCACATCTCTCAGTCTGAACTGCAGCTGGAAACGCTTTGTTGTAATATGGACTTTGCCACTTTGAAAGAGTGTGTTGATGTAGGAATCACTAGTGTGTTTTGCCTAGTTTACAGGCTGCAAAGGGACTGTGAAAGCCAGCACTTCTATTTATATCACATTCAAGGGGCAGTCGGTTTTCTTTTACAACCTGCGAAGCGCCACCCAATCGCCCTCTCTTTGCACAGTTCTCCTCATCTGGGAATACCACTGCTTGCATTACAGCTTTGCAAGGCCCAAAGCTCTGGAGAGACAGCTCACACAAAAAAATGAACCAGGACAAAAACCCCACGTCCTGCATGTCCCCTCGTCACTTAGATTTTGTTATTGTGCTAAATGTCAAAAACCAGCTAAAACAGCGAGCGCTTGTCTCCTCCACATTTTGCTGAGCAAGACCTAGGTGAAGTGTTTGGATTCTGTGAAACAGAAAGGATAAGAGTGCAAACTGAGTGGGTTTGAATGTGGAAGATTAATGCCTGCCTTGTTAGTTTATTTTTTTTTAACAGCAGCACATCTGCCTCATCTGCTCAGTGCAGGCATCTGGCAGCCCTGGGGAGACAGTTTGATGGTTTGCTCTGCGTCCTTGGGAAGTTAAATATTTGGGGAGGCTCTTGTACAGAGCAGCACAGTTAAAAACAGAGAAGCACAGTTGAAATTAAGCAAAAAACAACAGGAACACAGGAAGAAACACAATGGTGCCTGAAGCTATGCCAAGCTGCTCTTTGACTCACCCAGCCCCAGAATGACAATGTCTTCAAAATCCAGTGATGACTTTGCCCTGGAATGATGGGAACTGGAGGGGAATGCTGCACTTTTTAGGCAAGAAATGCAATAACCACCAATGCCCCTGCTCCCTTCTGCCTTCCCAACAGCATTTCACAACAAAACAACAGAAGTTTTCCTAACAAAAGTTTTGGGAGTTACCTCCAGCAGCCTGACACCTGTTTTCCCCACCACATCTGAGATCAATGTCCCCACTAAGGACATAACGCTGCAGGGCCCTACAGCAAGGCCTCTCTCCACAAACACCGTGCCAAGGGTGTTTTCTGTCCTATCGGCATTTGCCTACCTAGACCCACTGGAAGAAGCTCCAGGTCACTTCCCCCGCGGCACAGAGGGGCTGCTGGATGTGCAGAGCCGCCGTGGTGGCCAGGCCTTACCTCGGTGGCTGCGGGCCGGGGTCTGGAGCAGCAGCCTCCAGCTGAGGAAGGCGGCGATGGCCAGGGCGGCCGAGAGGCCGAGGCGGGGAAGGAAGCGCATTTCTGGGGTGTGCTGGGTGCTCAGTGCTGCTGAGCAGCTCGGGACAGAGGCAACGGTGTTGGGGAACCTCCCGTGTTTATTTAAACACACCCAGCCTGAGCTGGGTTAAAGTACTGTTTGGGCAGCAGCTCGGTAGGGGCAGGGAAATGGCCTGAGGCGCAGCAGGCGCCTCCTGCCTGCCTTTACAGTGTGAGATTTTGAGGCAGAATCTGCATTTTTATTCAGTGTCTGTGCCGTGCCAGATGACAGTGCTGTGAGGAGCAGGCCCTGCATCCCCGCTTCTGTGCAGGGTCCTGCAGAGCCACGAGGGCACAGATGTCCCTGGTCCCCTGATATTCCCTGTTCTCCACTGCCTTTGGCACTGAGTGAGGCACTGCCGGGGAGCGGAGCTGTGGGGAGCAGCTGGGGCTGGGCCATGGGTCCTGGCCCTGTGGTGCTGGGGGTCTCTTAAGCTGGAAGCTGTGGCAGGGGAGGTGACAGGGCACAGCCAGTGCCATATGGCAGGTCGATGGTGAGCCACGGACTGGAAATGATGAACTGCTGTTTGTGTTCAAGACCTGTGACCGAGGCCACAGAGGTACAGAGACCTCATTATACAGAAAAAGGGGGTGCACTCCACGCAGGCAGACAGACAGACAGACAGACAGACAGACAGACGTGCTGCTCCTTCCTTTCGCCAAGGAGTCACCTCGAGTGATGGAATTCCGCCTGCCCGGACCTGCTGAGGGCTGTGCCAGGGCGGATTTCCTCTCCCCAGGACAACCGCGGCTTTCCCAGCAGAGGGGGCTCCATGGCTTTCCCGGTGCTCCATGGCTTTCCCAGCAGAGGGGGCTCCATGGCTTTCCCGGTGCTCCATGGCTT